CCCACCCCCTTCTTTCCCCTCTCCTCCCCACCATCCTCTCCTCTGCACTGTCCACTCTCAATTAAATTTAACCAGCCCTCGACCAGCGCAAGCTTGAATATCATCCTTCTAATGCATCTGTCTACATATGTGACTGGAATAAGGGATGGAGCTAATTTGGGTTCAGATAGTGCACTCTGTTCTTGATGCATTTTATGGCTTCCTATGTATCAATGAAATACCTTCTCTGCTAAATTGCATTGGTGACTTCAGTATATATATATGTATTATTTTTTTTTTTGAAGAGCAAAGGGAGTCTCCCCCGGTGCTGGGGGAAAAAAAAATCTGTTACTTGTATCCGTTGCGATTTCCATGCTGTACGTTCTTTTATTTTAAAAGGCCAACTTGCTACACGCCGGAGCTTTCCGGTATTATAAGGATGAATATTTAAAGGGTGGAGGATCTTGGGTTTAGCTACAGGTACCGGATCATGGAGATGGAAGACGGACGCCGGAGCTTAGCCCCTTTACACGCTGCAGATCCGTGTTTGAAAAAAACCCCTTCGAGCCCCCTATTAAAAACCGCCGCTGACAGCGCGTAATTAAGTAGACTGTCCTCCGAATAGGTTTTGCATGGAGGAGATGGATTTGTGCATGGCTATCGCAGCTCAGATCCCTCATCTAATTGCTGTCTTCTCAGGCCGCGGTGATGTATGTACCGCGGGTAACATGGTATTAGAAAATGTATGAAAGCCAGGAGAGGTGAAGTAGCTTTTCCGAGCCGTGTCTCAGCCAGATGGAAGTGCAAGGCTCAGATATCGGCGAGCACATGTCAGGGGGGGAAAAAAATGGTTGTGATTTGCAATTTTCTATCCGTTCCTCCTGTCGCTGAAGCTCCACAGAGCCAGCCAGGAAACAAGGGATCCTCTTCTCCTTTTTTTTTTGGCTTATTATTTCATTTGCTGGCTTTTGAAGTGGCTGGAGATTGGCTCATTGGCTTTGCTCCTCAACGCCAGCGTTTCGGAAGCCCCCATTGCCTCTAATTTCTAGCTCCCGCTCTTGCACAATATTTGTTTAAATCTTACACACATCACCCTGTAGCTGCTGGGCGACCACAACCCCAGGTGGCAGCGCGCTGGGGTTTGTAGTGCTTTGGCAGATGCAGGGACAGGAGCCTTTTTTTTGGGGGGGGGGGGGTTTTTTTGGGGGCGAATTTTTGGGGCCCCCTAAATATTGTTTTATTTCCAGGGCTGAGCTGGCTGGCAGGTTATTAAAACAGCCATATGAAAGGGTCTTCGGAGCCTCAGCCGAGGCGGCCAACCAATACGGCAGAAGGGAAGGCGCTAAACGATACAAGACTGGGGAGCAATATCCATTCCTCTCATTTTCCTCCACTCGATCGCTGATTGTTTTATTTTAGTGTTGCATTTGGGCGCAGCGGGGGACGTGGGGAGGCGCGGGCACAGAGTAATTCTTCGGATAAGTAGGAAGGATGGAATATATATCTCAGGCTTTGCAACAAGTCAGGTGTTCTGCAAATGTTGGGTTGGCCAAACTTTTAACATAACTCCTGGTGTTTATTGTAACCAGTGTGAAGAGGGGGGACCTACTATTTGTGCAGACTGTGCGGCTGTACAAGGGCCCTCTGGGACTCAGGGGCCCAGTTATACCAGATGTGGGTCAGGCCGCTGTGAATTATGTTGAACGCATTTCCCGTTTCCTCTTGACATCATCCAAACTGGAACCAAACGGTGCTTGCTCTTTGACTCAGTTACATAGTATGAATCATGAGAAAGTTCTGCATATCACACAGGTTCCTTCTGCAACTCTCTGTCCATTAACAGTTTTTTTGTCCATAGATTTCTATGAGGCTTGTATTCAGAATGGAAGTGAATTGTTTGGTTTGATACCTGTTGTATATTATGAACCATGAGAGAGCCATTTACAAAGGCAACTGTCCGTCCGTCCGTCCGTCCGTCCGTCATGACTATTGCACATGAGCCTCTGGGGGGAAAACATCACCAAAGTGCCCATGTGTACCACACCTCATGCTCCTTGTTGGATAGTCATCCCCTCTCTCAGCTGCTCCTGTTTCCCATAAATAGACGATTTCTGTCCAATATCCAGGACTTTTGGAGAATGTGTACCGAGGTTCCTAATTGGCGTCCCGGCATCTTGCAGGTGCAGCCTCCAATAAGCTCCCCCTGTGCCCAGCTCTTCCATAATACCTTGTCATGGATATTTCGCGCTGTAGACGGTTCACTAAGATCCGCGGTGGAAAGCCGACTGCAAAATGTAAATTTTATTGAGCTGTAGGGGTTTTACTGAAGGCGAAATTCACACAACCACAGGAGGAGCCGTGAATAATTCAACAAAGTGGCAGAGGGGAATATAAATAACAAAATAAATAAAAAACTAGCTGATTTTGAGTCCTCCCTGCCAAAGGGATCTGATAAAAAAAACAAAATGCTTGCGTGAGGACGTGAGAAGCCTCGGGTGGAAGCTGGTATTCCTTGACTTCGGTAATGACAATTGATAGCAGAACAGTCACCTGGATGTCAGGAACACAATGACCCTATTTGAGATCTCTCATACAGAAGAGTTTACCCGAAAAGTAACCTAGCATGTCCTCACCTTTCTGTGCTTCTGAGCCGCAACCATGTGACTCACCCCCCCCCCCCTTTTCCCCACCATGTGACTGCTCTAGGTGTCTTGATTGGTGCAGTTCTGCCACTTAGGGGGAAGGGGAGTCCATAGCCCCGTATAAGCTCTGACAAGTTGGTTTGGAGCTTACACAGGGCTTTCCCTGGACCCAGCAGCTAAACAGAGCAGATTGAGGAAAGGTTAGTAAGTGGGTGGTGTAGTTGGGTGTGTGCATTTTCAGAAGGAGATCAGAGGACAGAAAGTTATCCTTGTTGGCTTTTGCATGGTGGCCCCTGTCATGTCACAAGGTTCAAAAAAGATTAAAGGAGAACTATGAGGTGGGTGCTTTTCACTCACCTCATAGTTCTAGCCGACCTGTGACAATGAGACTGTCACAGGTCGGCTCAGTAGATCGGGAGGTGAGCGAACACATACCAGCGTTCGCTCACTTCTCGATCCTGTCACGGCTCTCTGCCGTGACAGGGGAGGGGCTGGATTCCCCCCTTCCCCCTCTGATCCTCCAGCGCTGACTGGCGGAACGGACAGGGGAGGGGGCGGGTACAGCTGGCTCTGCCTCTAGATAGGCAGAGCCAGCTGTCAGTCACGCAGCTGGGCGGATCCCGGCATATTTGTCGGGATCCGCTTCAGCTGCGGTGTCTTAGTATACTGCGAGCAGCAGCTCCCTATATACTGAGCCTAGTATAGTTTGTGTCCTCCCGTTACCCTAAGGAGAACTATGGGGAAAAGACTTAACCCCATAGTTCTCCCTTAAAGGCCTTGCAAACTTGTGACACCCAATGGCTGGTTCCTGTAGGCCATAAAACATAAAGGTGGATATCAATTATTAAAGGTCTTGTGATACTGTGCTCGATGTTACACATATTGCAACAATTACCTGTGTCTGCCTGAACCCCTTTCAAACCTCTAGAGCAGGAAGCCATTGTAAGTGGGAGGAGTCTTTCTAATGCAGCAGGCAGAAGTTGACACAATAGCACAATTTTAATGCAAAAATGCTCCTCAGGGGTGGGGCTGGTGAGGTCCCGGCCACTCACATTGTTGCATTCTCAACTTTATTTTGTCTTATATTAACCCATATAAGATGCTCATATAAGACTCCTTCTAACTGTATTAAAAGTTATCCTCGTTGGCTTATGCATGGTGGCACCTGCCATGTCACAAGGTTGAAACAAGATGAAAGACCGTGCAAGCCTTTAAACTTGTGACACTTGATGATTGGTTCCTGTAGGCCATAAAAACATAAAGGTGGACGCCAATGGCCTTGTGATACTGTGCTTGATGTTACACATATTGCAACAATTGCCTGTGCCTGCCGGAACCCCTTTTTAAACCTCTACAGCAGGAACCATTGTAAGTGGGAGGAACCCCCTGTAATGCAGAAGGTTGATACAATAGAACAATTTTATTGCAAAAATGTTCCTCAGGGGCGGGGCTGGAGAGGTCGTGGCCACTGACATGGTTGCATTCTCATTTTTGTTGCCTTATTATAATTCATATAATTAATTTGCTAAATTAAAAATGATCCTTGTTGCCTTATGATTGGTGGCACCTGTCATGTCACAAGGTTAAAAAAAAATGAAAATAAAGACCTTGCAAGCCTTTATATTTGTGACACTCAATGGCCGGTTCCTGTAGGCCATAAAAACATAAAGTTGGACACCAAGGCCTTGTAATACTGTGCTTGAGGTTAAAGGAGAACTATGGGGTTAGGGCTTTTCCCCATAGTTCTCCTTAGGGTAACAGGAGGACACAAACTAGCGTCCTCCCGTCACCCTAGGCTCAGTATACCGCGAGCTGCAGCTCCTTGTATACTGAGGCGCCGCAGCCAGAGTGGATCCCGACATCAATGTCTGGATCCGCCCAGCTGCGTGAGTGACAGCTGGCTCTGCCTATCTAGAGCCAGAGCCAGCTGTACCCGCCCCCTCCCCCGTCCCGCCAGTCAGCGCTGGCGGATCGGAGCTGGGAGGGGGGAATCCAGCCCCTCCCCTGTCACGGCAGAGAGTCTCATTGTCACAGCTCGGCTAGAACTAGGAGGTGAGTGAAAAGCCCCTCCCCCTCATAGTTCTCCTTTAATATCTTTGGGCTCTGTGTATAAAGGTGAGGGAGCTG